GATTGGGTGAGAGGAGAAAAGCTAAACTCCTCATCTGGGACTCTAAGACAGAAGCAGTTGGTGGAAGACTGTTGCTGGGAGAGAGGGTAGGTGTCAATCTATAGACCTGGGAATCATCTGCACAGAGATGATAATTGAATCCTTGGGAGCTGATGAGATCACTGAGGGAGAGAATATAGAGGGAGAAGAGAAGAGGACTCAGGACAGCCCCCAGGGGAGATGTCCCTGGCTAACATGTCCCCAGGTTGAGGATCCAGCAAAGGAGAATGAGAAGGAATGGCCAGAGGAGAACCAGGAAAGAGCAGCTGCATGAAAACCTAGAGGAGAATGCCCGGGAGGAGAGGAGGCTGAGAAGGGGATGTCACCATGCTGGTAACTAAGAAGTGACCAGTAGGGTGGCAGAGCAGCAGCTGGCCAGGAGCAGGCTCTGGGGCAGTGCAGTGGCAACCTGAGATCCCGTCCACACATGGAGACCTTTTGGGCACTGCCCTGATGGAGATAAATACCCCGTGTCTTGTGGGAACTCATCAGCTAAAACTAACAACACACCAGAAATGTACAACCTCAAAGCCATGGAGCTGTTCATGATCTAAAAATAATCAGAATTAGAATTCACAAAGACTCTGACATCTGGAGAAAAATGGCCCCATGGAAACGGTTCATTTGTAGAGAAAAGCTAAGGTTGCCCCCTTTAGGAACATGCAAGGACAGCCTAGGGAAAGACAGGCCATGAGCAAACACAGAAGAAAAAGACCAGAGATCCACAAGTGGCTACTAGCTGAATGTGGCATCCATGGAGTAACAGTCCTTTCTATGTATAAGACCTAGAAACTTTCTCTTTAGATGTCTTATGGATCAGTCACATCCTCGGTTGGCATATTTTGTTCTCTTTGGTTGAGGAGATTGTCAGATGTCGGAGGGCAGGTCCTACCCCACTCTCCTCGTACAGAGCCTTGTACACCATGGAAGCCTAATGGAGCTTTGTGGAATTGGGCCAATGCACCTTTCAAGGACATGGAAAGGAATGAAAGGATCTGGAAAAGTGACTCAGGAGTGATGGAAGATCTGAACAGCCCATCCTATTGGCTCTGGGAGCCATTCAGGCCCTGGGCTGGCGTGGCTGGCCTGGAGTGTTGGGTACATTCATACAAACACCGACATGGATCCCAACTGGTCTTATCCAAGATCAAGGGACTGAAGCTGGAAGTGACCCTGGAGAGCCTTCAGTCTGACCCTTTTACATTATGGATGAGGAAACTGGAGCCTGAGAGAGGACAAGTTATGGACTGCAGGGCCACAAAGGTGGAGTTTGACCCCAGCTCCTCTGACTCCAGAGTCAATTTCCTCTCCTCTTTTGTTGATGTGATATCACACACATGCACACATATACACATACACATGTGCACATACATACACTCACCCACACACATGTAGGGGTACATGTATGCACACATGTACATGGGCCCACATATACACATGCACACACATACCAGTCCTTCAGAGTTCTTCATGATCATTCTTCCCTCTTACCTAAAAGGAACAGTAAATCAGAGAGGTGTAAAGCTTGCTAACCTCACAGTTCTCACCGTTTTGTTAATTGCCTCTCCCATGAGAAGTCAAGAAGGAAAATAGAATTCTTATCAAATTTCCTCTGCTTTTTTTTGCTAGGAATAAGGATATCACTTTGTTAGTTCAATGTCCTTCTAATGAGTGAGCTTGGTTTAATCTTAGGGAAAGAGTTTGGGAGAGAGTGACAAGGACCCTAAATTGGCCTTTAACCACCACCACTGAGGCAGGCTCCATGATAAGATCAATGCTATTGTTTAGGGATGGCTTATCCAGTTTGTGGACTATCCAAACCCCCACTTGACCTCCCTTCCCTTTGTCATCACCAACAATGGGGAAAGTAGAGTCTGACCCCATAGATATTTCACATTGTTGACCTAATGAAGTCCAGAGGGGCAATGAGGTGACATGGAATGGGCAATGAGCTTGGACTCACAAGGCCTAGGTTCAAATTCTGGCTCTGAGACTTACTAACTACCTGACCTTGTTCAAGTGACTTCCCCTCTCTGCACCACAGCATCCTTATCCACAATCAGCTCCCAGCATCAGAACGTTCCTCCCCGTGGATCAGCTCCCCACCTCAACTGCAGAACTTCTGTCTCTGGTCAGCTGGTCTCAGCTGGGTTCTACTTCCACTGCCTCTTCAGCCCCATGGGCTTCTAAACTCCATTAGCCAGTCAGTTAACTAACATTTATTAAGCACCTATTATATGGCAGGTCCTGTGCTAAGCAGCAGGGATACAGAAAGGCAAAAATTAGTCCTTGTTCTCGATCTCACAGTTGAATGGGTGAGATAACGTGAATGATTAGGACAAACAAGATACATACAGGACAAATCAGGGTGGTCTCAGAGAGAAGGCATTGAGATTAAGGAGGACCAGGAAAGGTTTCTTGCAGAAGGTGGAACTTGGACTAAGACAGAGATGAGGAGGGAAAGAGTTCCAGGAATGTGGAAAAACTAGGACTTGAAGGAAGCCCTGGAAGCCGTGGGAAACAGCTGTAAAAATGTCCATCAGAGATGGCCAACAGGGAACTTTCCCTTGGTCTTCAAACAGTTCTTGGAGCCAGAGTTTCCCAGGGATAAACTTCTCAGTCCTAAATGATGAGGATGAGGATGATGAGGATGAGGATGTTGATGGTGGTGGTGGTGGTGGTGATGATGATGATGGTGGTGATGATGATGATGGTGATGGTGATGATGGTGGTGGTGATGATGATGGTGATGATGGTGGTGATGATGGTGATGGTGGTGATGATAGTAGTTATATGTAAATAAACTTCAGGGAAACAACACACTTATTCAAGGGGTTTCTCCCCTTGCTATTTTGCTAGGTTTCTCACAGAAATGTCTTATTTTTACTCCTTTCAATAAACAAAATGTTTACGTAAGAAAAGAGCTGCATCATTTAATGCCTTCTGCATACAACATGTATGTCCCTGCCTCCAGTCTCTCTCCCTGAATATTGCTGCAGCATGGGTCTAACCATATCTCTTCCCAGCTCAGGAAGCTGACCTGTAGGATAAAGCACCATGTCCTCTCTTTGGTGCTTACAGACCTTCACAGTCCTGGCTGCAGCCAACTTCTCCAGGTTTATTATTCCTCCCCTTCCTCCCACCCCATTCCATAATCCAGTCAGATTGGCTTGTTTGCTATTCCTCACGTGACACTCCACCTCTTATCTCAGCCATCCCTTGTGCCTGGAGTGTCCTCCCTTTACACTTCTACAAATCCCTGGTTTCCTGATCCTTTCAATGACTAGTGCCTCACCCTGATAATTACCTTGTACTTCTTTTGCCTAAATCTTTGTATGTATCTTGCAAAAATATTAGTGCATATACATTGTCTCTGCCTACAGAAAAAAGGGATTTCCATTTTTGTCTGTGCCAGGTGTATTTATAGAAGGGAGAGAAGAGGACATAATTTCATTGATATCAGGGAATTCTCAGTGAGGTTACCCCTTCCCACAGTGCAAATCAGCACCTCCTCTAGGATTCATAGTCTTTGAGAGTTGTCTGGGGCCCTAAGAAGTGAAGGTACTTGTCCAAGGTCACACAGCCAGCACAGAAGTGAGACTGGAACCCAGGGTTTCCTGCCTCAGAGGCCAGCTCTCTATCAACTACTCCAAACTATGCTTCATCAGTGCTGGTCATTTAACTGATCCATAGGCAAATAAGCATCACATAGTAATGGGCAGGGAGTAAACCCCTGGGGGAACTAGGAAAAATCCGTGTAGGAGATGGGGCCTAAGCTCAGTCTTAAAGATACCTATGGATTCCCAAAGACAGAGATGAAGATTGATGAAGTCCAAGGACTTTCCCAGCTTAAAGAAATTCAATCTGTAGCAGGGCTTAGTTATAAATTTTTAAAAATCAATTTTAATTCTGGTGCCTTGGTTTTCCAAGTTTTCTAATTTTAGTGCATACAACGTTAGGCAAAGAAAGGGGCCATTTCCTCAACATCTTTTCAAGATTCCACATTTGGCCAGTAATATTATTGCTTTCTTTTCAGTGAAGGAGATTCTATTAGTCAGGCTTCTGAGTGTGAAATGCTGGTAATTAATTGAAGCTGTAATCCCAGCATTCCTGGGGAAAGATGCACACCCTCGCAGCAACTGGATTGAATCACAGCAAAATTTATTCTCTAAGAATATGGGAACTTTTTGCTGATTTCCTCATGAGGTCTTTAAAAAGTGGAGCTTGGTGAACATGTGATCAGAGATCGCCCTAAAACCCTGCCAGGGCAGATACTCAATTAACTCCTCACCTCCTCTTTCTCTGGCCAGAGAAGGGAACACGCTTACATGGCAGTTTGGGGGGCTCTCTGGCTGCCAAACCACTTTGGGCCTCCATCATCAGCCCTGAGGGGGCAGCTCTTGGGAGCGAGGCCCCGCCGCCTCTGTGGTTCATCCCTCCCTTGTAAAATAAGCTGGGGTTGCAGCCAGCTGAGGTTCCTGGGAACTCAAGGAAATGAGAGTGTTTTATGAGACTTCCCCATGGCCTTCTCTCATCACATCCAAGCATGAGTCATGGTGCACTTCTGGGGTCTTCTCTCCCCAGAATTGAGTAGGGTAGGGCTCGAGGAAGCAAGCCTGCTGGCCAGCATCCTTTGTACCTAGATCAGGTTTGGCAGGAATTCAGCTACACAAGTCCCCAGGGAGTTCACAAGCTATACACACCTGATCCCCAGCCTCTCCCCAGGAGAGGTATGAACCCTTAAGTGCTTTTCACTTAATGGATTTAAGAGATGCTGCAAACCAGTGGAAATCCCAGGGCTCAGCAGGGCCAGTTAGTATTCAGAGAAGGTCCAGATGTAGGACAGGATTTCTCTGTATGCAGAACCTAGCTTGCCTTCACCTAAAAAACCCAAACCAGCTCAAAGGAAATTATTAAAAACATTTGCAGGAGATGAAAGTGCTGATTTGCTTTGGTTTCAGGCGCTAAACCTGCTCCTGGGATCTGCTTTGAGAGAGTCAACTCTGCTGGCGATCCCTATGGAAACTGCGGCAAGGACTCCAAAAGCTCCTTCGCGAAATGTGAAATGCGGTAGGTGATGAGGCGCGGGGCTTCAGGTGAGGGGCTCCAGCCCTTCTGGAGAGATCACGGCTGTCCTCAATGGGTTGTCCTTTCTGACGGCTCTTTGTGGTCCTGTCTCCCCTTTCCCAGAGATGCTAAATGTGGGAAAATCCAATGCCAAGGAGGAGCCAGTCGACCGGTCATTGGTACCAATGCCGTTTCCATAGAAACCAACATCCCCCTGCAGGAAGGAGGCAAGATCCTGTGCCGTGGTACCCATGTGTACCTGGGAGATGACCTGCCAGACCCTGGGCTCGTGCTGGCTGGCACGAAATGTGAAGACGGCAAAGTAAGACTCGCTTCCAGGAGAAAGGAGATGATAATTAGCACCATGACTTATTTTGTCGAGGGGTTAATAATGAAAGACAGAATGAGAGGCAGCAGAGTGGAATGGCAAGAACACTGGGCTTAAAACTGAAAGATTTGTATTTGAGGCTTTATCCTATCTGTCCCTATGTGATCCTAGGGAAGTCGTGTGGTCTGCTGGGCCTCAGCTGCTTCACCCAAAGAATGGGTGGACTAATCACTGTCCTATTCACATCACAGCATCATTGTAAGGCTCAGATCAGGGTGTGCTTCAGAAATTATCAAGTCTACTTGCTAGCCCACCATTTATGGCTAGTCTGCCATCAAAGACAGCCCACCATCTTGATTCAAAAAATCCTACAATAATTAGATTGTTTTCCCAAGAAAGATTTACTCATTTTGGAATTAAGACCCTCACCTCCTACACACCTCTCCCCAACACACACACACACACACACACACACACACACACACACACACACACACCAGTAAGCAGAAGTCTAAAAATAGTTGATTCAAAAACATCCATTTACTTACAATGCCTTTTTCTGAACCCGGCTCTTCAGGAAGGGGATGCCATTCAGTTCTTAGAAAAGGAGCAAAGTGGCCCCCGAAGTATGAACTTCTGCTGGTTTCTGATATCTCTCAGTCTTGGAGAAATCTGCTGGTCTCTCTAGTCCTTTCTGGTGTAGAGACACTATTCCTGTAACCAGAGTGGGCAGTCTTTATTAAATCTCTTGAAGGTGAAGAGCAGAATTATGTACCTATGTCCGTAGGTCAACATGTCAAGGTCCTGTGATTTTGTTGGCATGGGAACTCTGATGCATCTGCTCCCAGTGACCCGGATTGAAACTCACCTATGATGCATTCAATAAACTTTTTGGGGCACCTACTATGTGCTGGGCTCTGTGCTAGGCAGTAGAAAATACACAGATAAAAATCAAAGCAGTGCCTGCCCTCAAGGATCTTCCATTCTACTGTGGAGACAGAAAATGTGCACTAATGAGTAGACACAATGTATTCTCCAATGTGATTTAGAAGTTCCTCCTGAGCACTGCCGGCCCATCCCATGTCATCGGCATCCATGTCCTCCCAAAGGCTGGCATCCACCCACCATGCTTTCTAACAGTTGGGGAGATCAGGACAGGTGTGCCGGTGAAGGTGGCCCCTGAGCTGCCTGAGGCTGAACCCAGGTCTCCCTGACTGCAAAGCCAGCCCTCTCCCCACCACTCTGAGCTTACAATAGCTTTGAACCGTGATGGCGAGCTTTAGGTCTGATCTCTGCAGCTAGACAGGGGAAGGGGAAGGGGCCCAGGAAAGGCAGTGCATAGATAGGGTTGGCTGCAGGAAGGCAGGAGAGAGCAGAAACAGGAGTTACATCTAAGACAGGGCTGGGAGAGCAGGGGATTTTTTGCAAAAACTAACACCACCAGAAGATATTTGAGGTCTGAGAAACTAAGCACATATGTATATCTCCCTGTAACTAATCTTTTACTTCATTTTCACATAAACCAGAGCAAATGACAATAAGCTCATGAAATGTCTCAGAAAAGTCCAGAAGCTTTAAAAAATTTTTTTCATCAAGACAGTTGGGAGCAGTGAATACCCCCATGCTTGGGAAGCCCCAGTTTTTCACTGGCAAAACAGCTGTCCAATCCTTCCCTAACATCATGCTGCCAGGATGGGATGGAGACCCAGCATCTCCTCACGACTAAAAGCATGCAATGCCAACCAGTATCTCTCTCCTCCACACAGACTAATCTTTTCCCCTGAGGAAATGGTGTGGCCTACTTTGGACGAGGACTTGAAATATTTATACTGTAGGTTCTGTATGTCAGTGCTAGCTATATCACCTTCCAGAGTCAAGCCTTGTTCCTGAAAGAGACGCAGTTCACTTGGGCTGCCGTCAGGACATGCACTGCCCATGGCCTCCACCTCAGGACGGCAAGCTTCTCCCTCTCTCCCACTCAGGCACAGAGTTTGCTTTTCTTTTGGCAGAATCGTTCTCATTGTGAGTGCTGCAGAGTTGGGGAGGCCAGAAAAAATATTGGGTTTTTGTTTTTGTTTTTTACTGATTATTGGCTTGTCATGGAAATGATCAACCCCGGGATCTTCCTTGCAAAGTCTCAGAGGCCAGGGTGTGCAATCTCCACATAAGGCTGCTTCAATTCAATTCTCTTCCTCAAATATTTCTATTATGGAATACCTACTATGTGCCAACCATCTCTGGACTCAAAGCATTTACTTTCTTGGGGTGCTTGGAGTTATACATGTTATACAACATGTATGACAAAGCTCACACACGCACACACAGAGTCATTTCTGCTGGAGGAAGGAGATCCCCCATCAGCTGGGGGATTAGGAAGGGCATCATGGAAGCCTTGACCCCTGAGCTGATGCTTGAATGGACACACCGAGGGATTCCAAAACACAGGCAGAAAAGGGACAGCATTCCAGGTGTGGGGGACCGCAAAAGTGCGGAGATGAAAAACAGAGTCTTGTAACAGGGAGCTGTGAGTAGACCTGAACAGAGACACAGAGGCCAGAATTCTTGCTTTGGCTTCGGCTGCGGTGGTCGGATGGAGGGAACTCTCCAAAGGAAACATTTGTTCTACGAAAGACGTGTTTGGGGTTGAACCATAACATGCTTAAATTAGACTTTTGTGCCTTGGACTCAGGCTCATTTGTTCTATCTCATGATGGGCTGGGAGTTTATTCCCCGCCTTGGAGAGGAGGTGAGGAAATCCTGGGAATCACTGGAGTATGTTTTAGCAAGAATGTGATCAGCAAACCAAGAAATAATGCAGGGAGTTGGTTTCAGCTCAGCTGGGCTGTGGCCGAGGTCAGAGTGCCCACCCTGTTTCACTTGGAAAAAGGAGTAATAATAAGCCTCAACAGCGTAGTGACTGGTGATTCAGGTTTGCAGAGCCACTCCCCACATTACCTGTGTTTATGCGCATCCTTGGCCCTCACAGAACCCCTGTAAGGTAAGTGCTATTATTAGCCTCATTTCATAGAGAAAGAGAAAGAAGTGAAGTGACTTGTCCAGGATCACACAGCATTTGAACTCGTGTCTTCCTGATTCCAAATCCAGTGCTCTGTCCTCTACATTCTAGTCAATGACTGGATGTACCTCGGATTTCTGATGTTCTTCATCTTTCATACTAAGAATCCACATCATACAGTGAGAGATTTAGAGGTGGAGGAGGCCATTTGGTCCAACCCCCTTTTCTCAGAGATGAGAAGTTGTGTGACTTACCCAAGGACATACAGACATGGCCAGACCACGTGCATGGCTGTAGTGTGTCCAGAGGAAGACAGCCAGGATGGGAAAGGTCCTCGAGTCCTTGTCCTGCAACGATCACTCCAAGGATTTGGGAAGTGTAGCCCAGAGAAGGGAAGACTCAAAGGACTGATGCCCCAAGGGCTCTGCTATCTGGGGGACTGTGCCGTGTGAGAGGGGTGAGCTTTGTCCTGCTTGGCTCCAGAGGCGGTACCGGAACCAGAAGTGGAATCGGAGAAGGGGCAGGTTTAGTGTCAAGAAAGCCTTCCCCATGATGAGAGCGTACCCCGCTGGCCCAGGCTGACACTCAAGGTGGGGGGCTTCCCCTCCCCAGCAGAGGCTAGCCGGTCACTTCTCAGGAATATTCTTGAGAAGGTTCCTGGTGAGGCCAGAGGTAGATCAGCTGGTCTCTGAGCTCCTTCCAACTGAGACAGAGTGTCTGCTCTGAGTGTAGATTAGAGAGGGAATGTAGAAATGACCACAACCTTCTCTCTCAGTCTGTTGGCACGTGGCCGTGCCCCTGGGTATACCTGAGCCTTGTCTCAAAAAAATGCCTCATGTCCTTTTTTCCTTCTTTCCAGCTCTGCCTCAATCGCCGATGTCAGAATATCAGTGTATTTGGGGTCCACGAATGTGCCACAAAGTGCCACGGACGTGGAGTAAGTATCACAGAAACTCTTCTTATCCTCAGTCAACACCCAGTTGAGCAATGAGTCTTCAATTTGTTAAAGCTTTGGGTCTAGAATTTCTTGTAATAATAAGCCAGTTAATGTATTTTCAATATTTTTCCCCAAAGATATTAATTTTCCATGACCTTTACATCATATCAGAAATAAAATGTGACTTTTATTTAATGAAGAAAAATCTGATTGAGGAGTAATTATCTTTTAAATTAACATTCAGTGATAGAGAAAAGGATTTTTGTCATCCTCAAAATGATTTCAAGACTAACCGTCCTTCATGAAGAGTTTCCCATTAACATTTCAAACAGAGCTGTTTCTTTCAGGCGCTAGCTGTCACAATGTGTCAGAATTGAAATATTTCTAAAAAGATTCCTCTTATTTTCAGAAGCAGCCCCTGGCAACCCTATTTTGTGGGACATTCAATGGATTTGAGCAAGAAGAGTTAGTTATTTCAGTCTACAGAACTTGGAGAGAAAAAAATGACCGTAATTGTTGAAAACATAATTCATTTTTCATGATAAGCTTAAGTGTCTCCAACTAGGCTATATTAATCTTGACTTGCCAAGCTAGTGTTCATTGGCTTCTCAGAAGTGGACGCTACAGGAATCATGCCCCAAATTGGGTTTAGAGACATGGAGACCTTTGCCGATCATTCCCATGGAAAATGCGGCTTTTTTTTTTGTAAAGTAGTTGCAAAAAATCACAGTATCTCTCCCATCTACTCAGCTGACAAGTCATAGGTTTCATAAAAATGGAAGGGCTTTAAAAAATCATGGAATTTTTTGGAGCTGCAGAAGCTACAAAGATCATAACCTATTTTACACATTAGTAAACTGAGGCCCAGATGGAGAAAATGACTTGCCTGAGATCACGCACCTAGGGTGATTCCAATCCCTCGAGTCTCAGTAACTGAATCCTACAGTTTCAGAGCTGGGAGTGAGCTCTGAGGGCAGCTTGTCCAACTGAGACGTGACCCAGAATCCCCTCTTAGCATAAATCCTAGGATCTTAGATTTAGAGCTGGGAGAGATCTTAGAGGTCTTTATTTTACGACTGAGGAAACTGAGGCTCAGAAAAGTTAAGTGACTTACCCAGGATCACACAGACAGCAAGGGTCTCAGATAGAATAAGAACTTAGGTCTTCCTGACCCCAAGTTCAGTGTCCTATCTACTACACCACTTGGCCTTTTTTTCTTAAGGAAAAGGGCCATTTCATTTCTGTCTTTAAATCCCCATAGCCTACCGCAATGCCTCAGTTTCCTCATTTGTAAAATGTGGGTGATAATAATACAACCCAACTCCCAGGGTTATTGTGAGGACCAAATGAGATAATATTTGTCAAGCACTTTGCAAATTTTAAGTGCTGTGTAAATGTTGACTTTTATTACTTAATAAATGTTTGTTGAATTATTGATGCTGAGCAATCGTTATCTCGGTCCCGTGGAAGAATCAACAACCCCTATCAATGGTATCTAACGCTGGCAACAAGATGACCCAGTTGTCTTCATGTCGGCCAATCGATAAACATTTAAGAAGCACCTACCATGTTCCAAGCACATAAGTGCTTGTGAATGGTCTCACTGTGTGAAACCGCTCTTGCCGATGTGTGGTCTGGGCACAATGGCTAGACTTTTTGTGCTTCTAGTAATGCTGTAGTCAGAATTTTCCCTAAAATAAAGTGAGGGATTTAAGCATTTAAATGAAGTAGGGAAACAACTTTACAAAGTTTGTACATATACATACATGGTATATATATGTGTGTGACTTATAGAATCATAGATTTAGAACTAGAAGGGCCCCGAGAGGCTGTGATGTCCAACCTTCTCATTTTATAGGAATGTAAACCGAGGCGAGAAGCCACCCAGAGCAGACCTGGGAGCTCAGGCGGATATTCCCAAGAAGTGCATTGATATATTTATGTGCTTCCCAATGATCAGAGCTATCCCAAAGTGAGGTGGGCAGCCTCAGAAGGTAGTGAGCTCCCCATCACCAGAGGTCATCCAGCAAAGACTGGGACTATAGAGGGGATCCTTGATCAGAGACAGGTTGGGGGTAGATACCAAAGCCGGGATGTTCACAGAGGCTGCTCTCATTTTGAAGAGAAACTCCCCTCTGAGCATCTACCCCAGCCTCTTTACTTCTCTCATTTTATTTGACAGGTTTGCAACAGTAACAAGAATTGTCATTGTGAGGCTGACTGGGCCCCACCATTTTGTGACAAACCGGGCTTTGGCGGGAGCATTGATAGCGGGCCCATGCGGCAAGCAGGTTAGTATATGTACGCGGCCATCAGCATTTTCTACTGCACTCGATCAGAAACCCCCAGAGGTGGCCAGTGGGTTACTGCTTATTGGCAGAAACAGTGAGGGAATGTCTTCTTTATTAGAGCACTGAAATATTTAATCAAGTTAAGCATTCTCCCAATGGCCCAATGGGGGGACCGTGGTGGAGCACCAGGACAGCCCACCGCCCAAGCGCTCCCAAAGCAGTGAACTCTCTGGGAACCTGCTAAGTCATCCCAATAGGCTCCCGTACAGTGTCTGACAAGAACAGAAATGCATTGGGGCTTCCCAGACTCGGTCTCCCCTCTCAAAGCTCTTCTTTGTCATACCCCTCCTGTGGCCCTGACTCTTCACATCTGCTGACCGGTGGTCAGGCGGGGCCCATGCAGGCCCCTTCTCACTTTCTCCTGCAGTGATGCTTTCCAGTCTCCCCCATCTGAAGACAAGCCCCATGAGGGCAGGGAGGACTATTTAGATACTTGTCTTTATGTTCCCAGCACCTGGCATGGGGTGGGGTGCAAATCAGGCACTTGAACACTCGATTTCGAATGGTGGGAACTGCCGCAATGGAAATCCAGATTCCCAAGCCAGAGCTGACTTTAAGCAGCTTTCCAAAGTGCTGTGGGAGTCCTGGCTTGCTTTTCAGAGACACCCCTAGCATCCTCTTTGAAAGTAAAGCCTTGTCGTCAAGGACCTGGATGCTGGTGGCTCTCTGATACCTCAGAGCCCTTTCCTCCTAGGATGATCTTGGGAAGGATTTTCCATTATCGTCTTGGCTAAGGTCCAATGAGGAAGTTGAGTGGCATTTGGGGTTGACCCAGTTTCAAAGCACAAAGATGTAGGTAGAAAGGGATGGGGGCAGAGGAAGGATGAGATGGAGTGGAAAGGACATTGAAGTATCATGGCTTTAAAGCTGGCTTAAAGCTTGAGGACATAATGGAATGTGGAAGGATGTTAGAACATAGAATGTCAGAACTTGGAGGGACCCTAGAACCCAGAATGTCAGAGCTAGGAGAGACCTGGGAGCACCAAATGTCAGAATTGGGAAGGACCTTAAAACATTCCATATCAGAGTTGGGATGGACCTTCAAACAAATATTTTCCAAACAGGGAGGGACCTTAGAGTACAGAATGGCAGACCTGGGAGGCCATCCATCAGCCAGTCAAGGTTCAAATGTTGTCTCATATACTTACAAACTGTGTGACCCATGATAATTCACTCAACCTCTCATCCTGTTTTCTCATCCATAAAATGGGGCTAATAACAGCAGCTACCTCACAGGGTTATTGTGAAGATCAAAACAGATCATGTATTTAATTTGCTTTGGAAAACTGAAAGCATTGTAGAAATGTGTGTGTTTAGTGTTATTGCTCTATAGGAACCCTCCTACCCCACCTCCATTGATCATTATCCCATCATAGAGAAAACACAAGTTTTAGAACTGAAAGGGGTCATAGAGGTCACCTCTCCCAACTGCCTCATTTTACAGATGAGAAAACTGAGGCCAAGAGATGGAAAGTGGGAAAGCGGCATCATGGAAGAAGCATTTTACTTGTAGTCATGAAGCCCTGGGTTCAAATCTCACTTTCAGTGACTAGTAGCTTTATCACCATGGTTTGTAACCTCTCTTGGCCTCAGTTTTCTCATCTGTAGAATGGGGATTATAAAAGCAGTGGTTCACAGAGTTGTTCTCTACAGCCTGCATGTGTACAGATTCCTAATCTGGAGCGCTATTAGTGACACCGCTGAAGGATTTGCCCAATGCCACATGGGGTGTAAGTAACAAACCATTGGATCGGGACCCGGAGCCTGTGTCTTCACATCCCGTCTTTTCCTGAGCACATCTTCAAGCCCTTCTTTCCCAGGAGAACGGCTCCACCTCCATCATTCTGCCAGGCTCCATCTCCCGGATCCTGGACTCGGAAATTCCCTTTTTGGGATCCAGGCAGCTCCCATCCTTCCACCTCTCCCATGGCCTCCCTCCTGAGCCTTGTGGCCACTGGGGAACACAGGAGCTTTCTAACTTGCAAAACGCTGCAGCTCTTTTGCTGTCCTTCCAGGCCATCACTACTGATTGGGCTTCACTCCCTTGCTTGCCTTCCCTCGTGGCTGATCTCAGCCTTCACAAGTTCAGGCCCTTCTCGGTCATTGCTGCCCCAGCGTCCGGAGCAGGGGGCACTCCCCGACTTGACCTGCCACGCATTTCATCCTGGCTGGGGGATGTTCTCTGTGGCACATTCTAATAAGCACCCAATGTTCAGGAGGCAGGAAGAACCCAGAGAAGTGTCTTAGATGACAAATGCACCAGCCAGCTAATCACAATGACCAGCTGCCTCTTTGCTGCAGGGAAAAGAGTGTGAGCCACTCTCCCAAAAGGCTGCTTTTGCCATCAACAATTGTGTTTTGGGGCTTCTAAAGTAACTAAAACAAGCAAGCTTGTGAGTGATTCCTTTAAGCCCCAGTTTGTGGGGGTGGACACTGGGGAAGGGAGAATGTGTCTATAATGTGACGCTGTCCAGAAAGAAAAAGAGCTCTCCAAAGAATTCAGAGAAACTCCAGTAGATAAGACAACAGCCCCCAGTGGGGTCCTAGAGCTTGAGAGAGCGGACGGCCGAGAGCAGGGAGGAAGGTGGAGGCGCCACGTTGGAGCCGCGGACTGCGGGGCTGGGCGGGGGCTCTGGGAACCTCTCGTGTCTGCTGGCGCTTGCCAAGGCCTCCGGACTTACGAGAGCCCTCAGCTTGGGCGTCCGGGTGGCCGGCCCAGGGACCATACGCCCACTTGCCGCTTTTCTCCAGAGTTGTCAGCAGCGAATGATGAGAGCAGAGATTGAAGTTAAACATGACTCCAAGACTAATTTCTTAGGCCTCCGTGGCATGATTTACTAACCTCATTCCTGCAGGTTCATTACAAGTGGGCTCTGCTATAAATGTCACATTTTTGACATATCATGTATTTCATTATAATGGCCTCCTGACAGAAAACACATGGGGTTTGTTTCAGATAAGCGAGGTCTGACGGTGGGCATCCTGGTGACGTTCCTCTGCCTTCTGGCTGCTGGCTTGGTCACGTATCTCAAGAGGAAAACCCTGATCCGGCTGCTCTTTACTAACAAAAAGACAAAGACGACAATTGAAAAACTAAGGTACCCTGAGTCGATCCCCTCTCAACCTCTGTAGTAAGGGACGGGGAGAGCTGCTCTGGTCAGGGCCCCTCTGGATCCTCACCCATTCAGTGTGAGAGCTTGTGTTTGAGGAGAAATGTTCGTAAGGGAAGAGTGTCCAGAGAGGGATGCTTAGAGCAGGGAGGGCCTAGAGACCATGCATACAAGGAGAGCTTCTAACATAGAATCCATGAGCTGGAAGGGCCCTCCAATACCCCTGCTCCAACCTTCGCCTGAACCAGGATCCCCTCCAAAACCAGGAGTCCTCCAGTGTTGGGAAGCTCACCTCCTCCCAAGACAAGCCCTTTCCCATTTTGGAACAATTATTAGGGAATGTTTTCACTACCAGAATCCTAGGTTTCCCTCTTCCACCCATTGCTCCTAATTCTGCCCTCTTCTGTCATACAGGGATGGTGGCTGACCATGACTTTCCCATCCTGCATATTTGCAATTGACATTGAAGGGCTTGGGGGTCCTTAACCTGGAGAAGAGAAGTCTCTGGGTAGCAGGGGAGGTGTGAGAGCTGGCTTCAAAAATTTAAAGGACTGGGAGCAGCTAGGTGGCACAGTGGATAGAGCACCAGCCCTGACGTCAGGAGGACCTGAGTTCAAATCCGGCCTCAGACCAAACACTTGACACTTAGTAGCTGTGTGACCTTGGGCAAGTCACTTAACCCTAGTTGCCTAAAAAAAAAAATTTAAAGGGCTGCCGTGAGGAAGATTGGTCCCCACTGGGCAGGTCTAGAAGCAATTATTGGTGGAAAAAAACAAAGGAAAATGTAGCTCAGAGGAAGGCAAAGCTCCCTGACATGTGACATCTGTCTCAAAGGGCAGGGGGCTGCCTTGGGGGTCTTTAGGCAGAGTCTGGACAGCCACCCCTGGTGGGGTGCTGGGCTCCCACGAGCTGCAGGTCTTCCAGCAGAGACAAGGTCACGCTCCCTGGTCCCCGGGCTGTCGCAGGGGTCCTTGGTCAGGTAGAAACTGGACCCCACGGCCTGGAGGCCCTGCCAGTGAAGCATTCAGAGGCCGACATTCCCAGACAAACTTCTCCTCCTGAGTGAGAAGATGATTCCTCTTCCTCGGTGGAAAGCGCCAGGCTGGCTTCTCTGTCTGTTCTGGACAGTGGGCTTCTTCATCACCGGGCAGGTTTTCAGAAGTATTCTCTCAGATCACAGCCATGTCAACGGCCCCTCTTCTTGTCCCCTGCACCTACTAATGGACCTGTGCAGAAATAAGCATGTTGCCTTTGATTAAAATCCTTGGGTCGGGTTTTGCATCGCCTTAAATTAATTAGGAGTCTCATATATGTGTGTGTGTGTGTGTGTGTATGACACACACATATAGATGAGATATACATATATACATACATGTACATATACACATATGTGCGTGTGTGTCTTTGGTCTTGATTTCTCATTTGCTTGAAATATATTCATCCCCAGAAATGGCCTTTGATCTAAACCCATCGAAGAGAGAGAAAACCTTCTGTGTTTGGGGTCATTATTGCTTAAACATTGGCTTCATTAGGATAATCTCTGGGGAGTTATGAAGCCGTGTTTGCAGGCTTTGCAGAACTAATTTAACAGACTAGTGGCTTCCTAAAAATCAATATTTATTTTTAATCTTGGAAGAGTATGAGATAATTTTTACTTTGAGTGTTTACCATACTGCGTGAAGAAAAGGAGAGAAAAACCCTTCCAACCAGATCCAAAGGAGACCTTAGGATGTCTTGCCTGAGGAAGCTTCTGATCAGCACGGACTGGCCCTGTGTTCCAGGTGTGTGAGTCCAGCTCGGCCATCCGGCGTCGCGGAACCAAATCATACCCGGACCACGAACCTCAGCCATGGTCTGCTCAGAAAGCCCCCACACACCAACATGCCAAAGGTGAGTGCATGAAAGGCACCAGGGCATTGCCAGGCTCAGGGATTGAGCAGAAAGGAGGTCCAGGGAAGTGTAGATGTCACTGCCAGCAAGGTTATTCCTGGGGTGGGAGGAGGCAAAAGAAGGGAAAGGGAGTCATTATTTATGCAGTATCTGCTGCACATCAGGCACTCTGCTAAGCACTTTACACACATTATTTCATTTTATTCTCACAACAGCCCTGGGGGGGGATAGGTGCTGTTATTATCCCATTTTACAGTTGAGGAAACTGAGGCAAACATAAATGAAGTGACTTGACAGGGTCACATAACTAGAAAGTGTCCGAGGCTGGATTTGAACTCAGGTCCCCTTACTACCTCTAAAGCACTCAAGACCCCTCAATCCCCACATGGAATCAGGGACCCTGATTCCACCCCAAGTCACCCCTGGGGGAGGGCATTTTCAGCGTGTGAAGAAGCCAGGTGGGTTAGTGGAGAGCTCCTCAGGGTGAGGAGGACAGTTCGAGTGTCACTGTCTACCAGCACCCGTGGGCTCCTCTCAGTGCCTCAGGCAGCTCCTTCAGGCTTTCAGTTGCAGAGAAGGCACCAGCTTGCATTGGCAGAGCAAGCTCCTTGGACCACTGAAGCCACTTCTCCCATCCTTCTTCCTCAATACTCCCATAATCCATCACTCTGCCTGCAGTTACAGCGAGGCGAGGCTCTCTGGTAAGGGCACAGCCCCAAACCGTGGAGCATCTGATCTTTGGTTTGGAAGGAGATCTGGGGTCCGGGACTTTATCAATTAAGTGTTCACCCACTGGTCTTTCTGGAAACATGGCGTGGGCCTGGGACTCAAACCCAGGATCTCAACACAGATGTACAAGGGAGGGAAGCAGCTAAGTCAGGCTCCACTCTCACTGGGTGGAGGGTGGGGGCTAAGCAGGTGACGGATGGGACTCATCCCTCCTGGCCAATCATTTCATGCAGTTAACATTAATTAACCACCAACTGTACCAGGCACTGAGTGCGAGAGAGACAAAGACAAAAATGAAACAGCCCTGCCCTCAAGGGCTTCCATTCTACCAGGGTGGGAGGGTGGGTAATAGAGGTGAATAAAGAAGTAGGCACAAGATGATTTGAGGAAGAGCAGTAACTGCTCAGGGAAATCAAGAAAGGCTTCCCTTAGGAGGCAGCATCTGAATTGAGCCTTATAGGAAGCTAAGGATTATAAAAGGTGATGGTGAGAAGAGGGACAGCCCCTATGGGCAAAGGCATGGGGGTGAGAAAAGGAATTAGGAATTTGGGGAACAAAAGTAGGTCACTTTAGCTGGAACATTAATGTGTGAAGGGGAATGATGGTCAAGAAGGCTTAGGCAGGAGCCAGCTTGGGAGGAGCTTCTGCTGTCAAGCTAAGGATTTTGTTTTCTAACCCAGAAGCAATAGGGAGCCACTGAAAATCCCTGAGCAAGGGACTGACGTGGTCAAACATGTGCTGTAAGAACATTATTTCGGCAGCACTGTGAAGGATGGACCGGGAAGGGGAGAAGTTGGAAGAAATCATCCCAGAAAGCATGAGTAGGAATATTGGGGGGCTCACCCAGGGCTGCTCTAGCAATCACACTCTCTGCTTGGAAGGTTTCCCTGAGCTGGTGAGGGCCAGTGTGACCCGGAGCATCCCCACCTGCCTTCCAAGCACGAGGAGCTGGCGCCTCCCACACGAGGCCACCCCGATCCCTCCTCCCCCAATTGCTAGTGTTCTCTCCCTTTGGAGATTTCTTTGCATGTACAGGGTGTCCCCCAAGCCTTTGGGGAGTGTTAAATTGTTAAAGCTATTAAAACTTAGGGACAGCTAGCTGGCACAGTGGATAAGCTCTGGCCTTGGAGTCAGGAGGACCTGAGTTCAAATCCGGCCTTGGATACATGACGCTTACTAACTGTGTGACCCTGGGCAAGTCACTGAACCCTGATTGCCTCACCAAAAGATGAAGAAAAAAAAAAGCTATTAAAACTTAAAAGTGAGTCAAGACTTGGAAAGCCTCTGGAGTTTGTTCATTTCCACACACCCCCCCCCAATAGAATGGAAGCCTCTTGAGGGCAGGAACTGTTTTGCTTTTGTCCTTGTCTGCCCGCACCGAGGACAGTACCAGGCACATAGCAGGTACTTAGTAAATGTTGGATTTCATAGGGATTATTTATTATCAAATTTTCACAAATGTTGTTGAATTAAATGACAGCTGTATCAGAACCTCCATCCGATTTTTTACTTCAGCAACACTTCTTTATTAGAGGCTTGGCAGGAGAGATAGTACGGTGTATCAAAAAGAGTTCTAGACTTGACTATAACTATACGTCCAGGAGAAATCATTATGTTATTAAATTAAGTGATCTTAAATGATATAGAAGTCAATAAACTACCCAACCATAGCCTAATCCCCAAATTGGGAAGGATTGCAGAGATTCAGTTTCCATCAGAAACGTTGGTCCCATTCTCTCTTTGGTCGGATGTTTTAAGTCGTGTCAAATTGACCGGAGAGCGTGGCTGCAAGACCTCGGGGCTGGATTCCTGGTGGTAGCCAGTTCTTGGCTGACTGTGTCCCTTTGGACGAGTCATTTGCCCTCTCTGGGCTCCAGCTTATTCTGTAACATGAAGGGAGGGGACTAAATGATGTCTGACTGGTCCATCCCAACTCCAAGTCTATGACCCTACATAATTACATAGAGCTAACTAGCTACCCCCTCACCCGAAACACAAGGCTAAGAAACTCCACGCTGTTGATGTCCTCTGTGCCTGTACTGTGTCCCAGAAAACGAGTTTGTAATGGGAGAATGTGGCTTTGCCTGGGTGGTGTCAACCTCTAAAGGGACAGACTATCCTCCCAAGTACCCTGAGTCTCCTTTTTTAAATGCTACTGATAGTCATGAGTTCATCTCTCGATTCATCTTAAACCTTTCTTCTTCCTGTCTGGGGCTTCTCAAAGTGGTGCCATATACAACAGTATTCCCTTTTATCTTCTATAAATTAACATGGGTTTCCCTTCTGTCCCTCCTTTCCTTCCTTTCCTTCCTTCCTTCTTTCCTCCTTGTTTCCCTGCCAAACTTCTGCCAGTGCGTGGCCACTCTCTTCCACACACACTGAATGCCCCTGTGGGAGAGCATGACCCTAACTCACAGCTTTAGGTGTGGATTGTGACATAGCTATTATTTTTACATTTTCTTTCTTGTATGAATAGCTGTGAGGTTCTTATTTCTTTTGCTTTATTATTAAAATGATTATATTTCACATTGAAAAGTCATCAGTGGTTCATTTGTGGCACCAGTGGGTGCTTGAATGCTAATGGAGTGAATAAAGGGAGTCTATTCCCCCAATGAGGTTGGCTGCCTCTAGGCCCCTGAGAAAGCTTGAGTAGAGCTTTGAAGCCATTCATGCCTATCCTGTGTCCCAGAAATGAGTTTGGAATGAGAGACCATGGCCTTTCCTAGATGATAGCAACCTCCAAAGGGTCAGAATATCCTCTAAACATCCTTTGTTTCTTTTTTTTAAATGCCATTGACCACCTAGGAGTTTATCTATTTACTCTACTTGAACTTTTCTTAGACTTCCTTCTCTGGGAACCTAGACCTGCCAGTGTCCATCAATATGGTCAATAAACATTTATTAAATACCTGCTGTATGCTAGTTACTGTGCTAAGCTCTGGGGATATAAAGAAAGGCAAAAGACAGTACCTTCTCTCAAGGACCTTTAAATTCGAATGGGGAAGACAACATGCAAACAACTGTGTACAAACAAGTTCTATAAAGGATAAATTGGAAATAATCGAGAAGGAACCAGAATAAAGGGAGCCTGGGGAAGGCTTTCCGTAGAGGCTGGAACTTAACTGGGACTTGAAGGAAGCCAGGGGAAGAAAAGAGATGGGAATATAGTGCTGCTGGTTCTTTTGAAATGCTTGCTGATTGACTGGTTTTCGTGCATGTTGATTGTCCTGAAGAGAGTGGGAGCTTCACCAGAGCTGGGCCCGTTCTGATTCTGTCTTTGTACCTCCATCTCCTAATCCCACACCCACTGGGCACATAAGAAATGCTCATTGCATGGCTGATTTGTGTCTTTGAATCTGCGGTACCAACTTGCCCAGTACCAATGGACAGAATGGAACTGAATCAGAGCCAGGAGGTCCCCAGCTCAGAAGAAGTTAATTAAGTTAATTAAGAGAAGGGGGGTGTCCTGACCTTCTTCATTTCTCTTTGTCTCCTTGTATCATCTTTGTCACCCTGATCTGGACCTTTTAGACCAGAACTGCATACAATATTGCAGGTGCTCTGTCCCACAGGATATCTAAACACAGGATCTTGATTTCTCTTTGGGTTCTAATACAGTTCTGAAAATTTGGATGGTTATCTTTGTACTATGGTCCCCACAAGGCAGGACGTTATGGGAAAGGAGCTTTGAGTGATAGAAAAGTGATAGAAAAACCTGAGCACTGATTCCCAAAGTGCATCATCTTTCATTATCCTTTTTGGTCTCTGCTACACTTTGAGCTGATGCCTTCAGGGAGCAGCCTGAGGGGCTAAGAGAGTCCAAAGTCATGATCTTGCGAGCGTAACATGGATCATTTTGTCTAGTGTGTGCACAAATGTTTGTGTTTGCCTACATTGCTATTCACCCACTGCCTCTGTCTATTCACACACCCTAGTGAGATCACCCTGATTTTATCCCAATCAGCTTGGCATTTCTTTATGAATAACAGCTTGTTATCAACTTAGATGTTCTGTCGTGTACTCTAACTGTGCCATTTATTTGAGTATTTTCTGAGGCCAATCCCAGCACCAATCCTTAGACTTATCCATTCATCTCAACTTTATGTTCTGTTGTTGTTTCATCCTTCAAGACAGGTTCAGAAGGACCTAACTAGATTGATGTAACTAGGATGAGGAGAGTGGCTCTCAGCGATGCTGACAGCAGCTGCCTGACAGCACAGAAACAGTTGAGTTTAGCCACTAGTTAGAAATAGGGCAGCTAGGAGGTTCATTGGATAGAGCACCAGCCCTGGAATCAGAAGGACCTGAGTTCAAACCTAGCCTCAGACACTTACTATCTGTGTGATTGTGGGCAAGTCATTTAACCCAGTTTGCCTCAGTTCTCTCATCTGTAAAATGGGCCGGAGAAGGAAATGGCAAACCACTCCAGGATCTTTGCCAGGAAAACTCTAAATTGGGTTGAAGAGTCAGACGTGACTGAAATGACTGAACAACAACAGAAATAGTTAAATAGGATGTACTTCCTCCTCTACCCCCCACCCCTTGGTGGTCGTACTTCACACAAGCGCCTCCCCAACTTGGCCCCAAGCTGGGGCTCCAATTGGCTCCAATTCCCAGCCTAAGACTTCCTCTGCAGCACAGTGCTCAAGTATTTCTGGAAGGAAATGTTGAAAGCCATGTGTCCTACCCTAACTAACCCAAAGGAATCAGACGCCAAGTCCAGGACTCTTTAGCCTGCGCCTCTAAATAAAGTTGGTGGGCCCTTCTCCTACCTCTCTTCCTTCCATATTCACCCACCCCCAACTCCTCCCTGACCCTAGGCGATCAGTCACACCTCCTGTTGCCATACATTAACAATGTCGCCCTAACTTTGTTTGTGATTCCTTTGTTCTGACCTGGGCAGAAGGAGAATTGCAGAAGATTACCAAAGTATCAGAACATTGATATCAGCAACCCAGTCAAGACCCTTGACTCTTCACCTTCTCGCCTCCTGGTGCCCCTTCATCAGGGGCCCAGTCATCAGAACGTGCCCGTGAGACCCCTCCCAGCCAACCCTCCAATCAGACAGGCCCAGGTAGGCCCACACTTGCTGCTCTATATTTCATTATTTCTAAAACTGAGAAGTTAATGTAATAACGCCTTGTCTTGTGTGTCTCTTGCCCGCTTCCAATGAGCTTGTAAACACAGGTTACTAGTTTATCCTTGGTTAATGATTTTTCTTTTATTTCAGCTTCTAGATTCTCAGGTTATCCTGATCAGGACATTTGCTAAGCTGCAGGTTGCTTTCTCTTGTTAGGGATTTATAGGCATTTGGGGTGAAACCTGGCATCAGTCAGTGACACTTGTTAAGATCCAACTGTCTGCCAAGCACTGGTCCAGCTGTGGGAGCAGCCACAAAGACAATTTAGATGAGACATGAAATATGGAGTCCAGTAGGGAGATGAGACACAGACACAAATAACTATAATATATGACCTCACATGGTGAGCACATTAGTGGGTGCAAATACCAGACTGTGTGAGGTCTAGGGAGAGTGCTAAGGGCTGTGGTCCAATTCAAGACAATAAATGTTTATTGAGCATCTCTGTTCAGGCCCCCATCCTAGGTCCTGAGACCATAAAGTCAAAAAACAATTAAAGTCCTTTCTCTCAAGGAGAAACATTGGAAATATGATGGGAGGTAGGGAGTGAAGAGGAGAATCCAGCTCCAGCCCCACACTGACCATGCTGCTCTCTGGGTATAGATTCCTGCTAAGAACCTAAGGTGCAGCCTCTAAGACTATGAGCATCCTAATCTTCTAATTAGCAGCTATCTTCCTTGGAGCTGCTCCCACCCCCTGCTACCCTTTATGGCTGGCAAATCCACACTATTGTACTCCCAATCTCAGAGATGTTTAATCACTGCCATCGCTGCCTGCCTAAGAGTAAACCAGACCACCTACCGTTCTCCACCTTCCGTTCTGTCATTCCTGTCTTCCTCAACCCTAGCCCTTCCACACCCCACCACCACACTACCCACCTTTTCAATATTGCCTTTGGAATTCCCCTTTCAAAACTAACAACTTCCCTTCATTTTAGACCTTTTGCTCTTGGGCGCCTTCAGCCCTCTGGCACTCACAGAGACCTGCCTTCCCCCGAGAAAACACTGCAGTTCTGAGTCTCCGGCACTAGGGACACCCTCTCTCATGCCCCCTTTCACACCTGTCCTGAGGAGGCGGCATAATACTCTTCACTCTGAACCTCCACTTACAGCCTCTCCCTTTAAGGCCGTCACTCTGCAATTTCTCCTTTGAAGTTCTCACTCTCAGAGTCTCTCTCCCTGTGCCAACTGGTGTTGGTCATCTGCTGGCCCCCAGCTCAGAAGGGCGGAGCCCCTTTCTCAGGTCTCACTGTCTTCTCTTCCTTCACGATATTGGCCTTTGTAGTAAAGGATTTCAACATGCGGTTGATCGGTCAATGCATTTTCATGTTCCCCCAGGTGGTTCCTCATTCTCCTTAAACACCACGACCTACTTCTCCCCTCCACCTCAACACACCCATCTCATGCATCTACAGCCCCCGGAGCTTGCCATCACACACAGCTGTTCCTCTTCCATCATCCAAAACTCTGGAGCCTCGATCTGATCGTGACCTCTCATTGGTCCACGTCTTCCTCTGCCTCACCCCTCCCAACTCTACTCCTCATCCTCATCAGACTTCTAATCTGTCCACCTCTCAGGACTTTCCTAGGCCATCCCTTCTGCTCTGACTTCACTTTCCTCCTTTGCCCATCTCAGCTGGTGGTGACGCAGTTCAACACTACTCTTCCCTCTCCTCTCCAGTCCCTCACTCATTAGAACTCCCTTGTTCTAACTGCACTCATGCTTTGACAAGCCTCATTCCTGAATTATTTCCACCACCTCCTCCTCTTCTCCTACTCATGTGCTACTGGGAGGTCTTGCAATAAAGATGACTGGGTCTACTGCCAATTTTTTTTTTTTTTTTTGCAACAAGGCAGATGAGGCTGGGGGTTTACTTGATGCTAATTTATTCTCCATTCCATTCTGCCCAGAGGGCATTCCACACCTTCTCTTCTCCCTTCAGGCCTCCCACATCTCCCTTTCTCCCCATTCTTTCAGCTGGGGCACTATCTGAGAGAAGAGGTCATTCGTAGGACGGTCCTACCTTTCCCTTCATCTCAAATTGTTTTGACAACTCTCTCCTCCTTCCCTCCAATCCCTGATAATGAAGTGGCCTCCTCACCAAAACCTGCCCCTCTACATGTAACAAGGATCCAATCCCCTTCTGTCTTCTCCAGCATAGTGCCTCTTTATTCAGCTTCCCTCTAATCTTTAATCTCTCCCTGCTTATTGGTTCTTCCTCTGATCTCTTCACATATGCCAGTCTCCTCCATCCTCATATTGCAATCACTAGACCCTATCATCCCTTTAAACTCTCATCCTGGATCTCTCTTCTTTTTCCTCAAACAATTTCTAGGAAAAAGCTAACTATGCTTGTGGCCTCCACTTTCTTCTCAACCATTTGCAATCTGGCTCCAGATTTGATCATCAGTTAATGGAAACTGCTTTCTCTAAGATACCATTGATCTCTTAATTACCAGATCAGGTGATCTTTTCTCAGGCTTAATGTTTCTTGACTTGTCTGTTCCATTTGACACTATTGACCACCCTGCTGTCCTGCTTTCTCTCTTCTCTGGATTTGTATGACACACCTCTCTCCTGTTTTTCCTTCTTACTTTATCTAACTACTCCATCTTACTCTTTTTTTCTGACTCATTTTTTTCTGACTTCAAATCAAACCCCCCACTTGTGGGTGTTTCCCAAGGCTCAGTCTTGGACCTTCTCTTCTATCTTTACACTGTCTGATCTGGTGACCTCATACATCCCCATGGACTTCATAAGTATCTCTCTACAGAGATACAGAGATATCTCTCTACAGATGGCACCCAGATCTACATAGCAGACCCCAACCTCTCCCTGACCTTCAGTCCTATATTACCACCTGTGCATTAGACATTTCAAAGTACATGTCCTTGTTATCTAAACTCAGTATATCCCCAACCGAGCTTTATTATTACCTTTTTATCTTTATCTTATTACCTAACTTATTATCGTCTTCTCCCCACTCAGCTTACCTCTCTTCCAGACTTCTCCAGTTCTGTAGAAGGCACCACCATTCTTCCAGGCATTACCCCAAGTATCCAACCAATAGCCATTTCTTGCTCACCGTTGGGTCCGTTCCCTTCTCTCCATTCACAGGCATCATGTTTGTTCCGGCCCTTCTCGCCTCTCACCTAGACTATTGCATCAGCCTTCTCATTGGTCTTCCAGCCTCAAGCCTCTCAGTATTTCAGTCAGTCCCACACACTATGGCCAAAGTAATTTTCTTCAGGTGCAGATCTGACCACGTCACTCCCTTACTCAATAAACTCCAGTAGCTCCCTATCGCCTCTAGGGTCAAATGGAAATCCTTTTATTTGGCTCTTTGAAATCTTCACAACTGTGTCCCACCCCATCCTTCCGGTCTCACCAGACATTGCTTACCTTCCTGCAGTCGGCAATGGAGCCAACCTGACTCTTCTTTTTCTTAGACATGGCACTCAGTCCTCCTTTCTCAGCCTCCCCGTCAGCTCTCTCCCCTGCCTGTACTGGGCTGCCTCCTTTCCTGGGCCTCAAGAAGGCCCTTTCTTCCTTTAGGGTGCAGCTCTAGCACCCACTCCTCTATGAGCCCTTTCCTAATTCCTCAGCCTGAAGTGTCCTCCCTCCCAGATGCCCTCGGCTTTATTTTGTATTTCGTCTATGTGGACTGATTTACGTATGTGTTGTCTCCCTGACGGAATGTAATCTCCTTGAGGGCAGGCCCTCTTTCACTTCAGCTTCATATCCCCAGTGCCTAGCACAGTGCCTGGTTCACAGCAGGTCCCTATCTCCTGAGGTTGTTGTAAAGTACAATGAGGTTAATATTTGTAAAGGACTTTACAAACCTTAAAACGCTATACAAACACACAAAGGAAAAAAAATTTAAAAATTAGAAATGAGTAGAGAGTGTATTCCAGGCATGAGGAGCAGCCTGTGGGAATGCCTAGAAAGAAAATAATGATAGCCAGCACTTATATAGCACCTACTATGTGCCAGGTACTGTGCTAAGCACTTTACAAATATTATCTCATTTTATGCTCACAGCAACCCTGGAAAGTGGGTGTAATTATATCCCCATTTTATAGATGATGAAACTGAGGCAAACAGAGGTTAAGTGACTTGCCTAGGGTCACCCAGCTAGTAAGCATCTAAGGCTGGATTTGAACTCTGGCCTTCTTGACTCCAGGTAAGTGTAGATTAAAAAAGAGGAAGGAAAAGAAAGAAAGGTGACACAAGACTGGTCCTTGTCTGATTTCCTGACTGTGCTTCTCACTACTCATGTTTATGATCTGGGCAATGCAGCAATCTCCCCTTCTCGTTTTGTCCAGCCAGCGATGCCTGCTGCTTCTGCAAAGGTATTCATCCAAACCAGCCCCAGACTGCATTGTGTTGACTGAGGCCTGGTTTTCCTGGCCTGTGTGGCTGGACAAAAGGGGTTGGAGTAGATATGACCCCTTGAAGTTTTTCCTTTACAGCAAACCAAAAACTAAAACAAAGTAAAACCAAACATAAATTCATCTTCTTCTTCTTCTTCTCCTCCTCCTCCTCCTCCTTCCTCTTCCTCTTCTCCCCCCCCCCCCCCACCTTTTTTTCTGGAACAATGTTTGCCTTTCAAGCATCAGGAATTTAACATCCCCATCCCATCCACCAAGCTGGTGTCTGTCTGGACCAGATTCAGGCCATGTGATGCCGATTAAGTCCTCTCAGTGCCCTGCCCCGTCCCCACCTTTCATGTTTGCTCTTTCTCAGAACATGGCTAAGAGCGGGAGTTAATTTCCTGCAGGTGTTCAGAGGGACTGGCGGTAGCTCGTGACTGGGAGCACAGACTGGGTGATGCCCTGTACTTCCAGAAGTCCCGTAACGCCCCAAAGAGGGAGAGACCTTCCATTGGGATCTCATATTTCCATTCTCCAAGCACGTCTCCTCAATAACCTGAG